AAATAAATGACAAGAAAAAACAGCAACTTAGTTAAGCCTCAGGCACTGTTTTGTGACTTACAGTAAGACCGAGGTCTGAATATTGTAGTATGAGGTTGCTCGGGATGCAGAATAGGAAACCCTGATAGCTACAAAAAAAGAAAAGGGAGCCCTGGCCGGTTTGGCTCAGCGGTTGGAGCGTCGGCCTGCGGTACAGAGAGGCCGGGGTTCGGTTCCCGCTAAGGGCATGTGCCTTGGTTGCGGTTTGTCCCCGGCCCTGGTTGGTCGTGCGGGTGGCAGCCACTCGATGTGTCCCTTCGCATCGATGTTTCTCTCTCTCTCTCTCTCTCTCTCTCTCTCTCCCTCCCGCTCTATCTGAACAAAAAATGGAAAAATGTCCTCGGGTGAAGAAAAAAAAAAAAAGAAAAGAAAAGGGAAATAATACAGAAGAGAATGAAATCAGTGACAGCTGCTCAATACTTTTGTGGGGCTCACAGGACATGTAGCATTCAAGTTGACTGAACCATAGGAGTCCACCAGGATTAGCATTTTATTAATCAAAAGAAGTTAGGATTTTGGCAGCACAGATAAAATTGGACAACTAACGCAAATTCAAAGAGCTTTTGAAGCCAAAATACTTATTTGGTCTTATAAAAAACCCCACTTCCTTAATTCTTTCATTTGTACTATATTAGAGAATCTTTCTTTGCATGTTAGACATTTTAAACCAACCATTAGTGAAGTATTTTCCACAGGATACTTAAATTACACATTGTTAGTATCTTTTATTATCATAGGTATCATGACCTCATTTAGTTTGTATAATCAAAGCTAGTTAGGCATTCATATGGTATAAGAGAAATTGTAGGTATCTCTAAGATCCATCATGCTCTGTATTCTCACATTGTTGAAGTGCTCTTTGGAGAACTTAAAATTAAAAATATATATTGTTTGCAGTCACATAAGTCATACAGGTTGTTATGTAAGCATATCAAGTACAAAAATCACTCTCATAATCAGTGCAGGCTCTGTCAAAACATCAAATTAGTTAGGTTATTCCTTTCTGATAATCTTTGGGGAATAGTCAAGGAGACTAAACATCTCGTACAGAGCCCTGTTTCAGCTGTCTAAACAAATCTCTCTCTTGATCGGAAGGAAAAGGCGAGCTTGCAAATCTGATATCTTTATCATTTTTTTAATGTGGTTGTTTCCACATAGTAACTATGGCATCCCATAATCCTTGGAAATTTTTACCACTCATCTATAAAATTTGAGTTTAGAAGTATCTAATCCGATGTTAGCCTGTATCTTTGGATTACAAGTAGATTTATTTACTTCTTTATTAAGAGTATAGTAATACTCATACAACAGAATGCAATCCCTGAAAACTATTCCTATATGGACACCAAGCCTTTGTTGGAGAGAGAATTTAGTAGACTAGGTGCACTAAAAGCAGTGGAATACCAGTACCTTAATAAATCGTGGCTTAAGAGGGATATAAAGCAACTTGACCATCTCCTATTAAAAATTTACATTGAGGGGAAATGGAAGCGAGCAGCGGGGCTGGCTAACGGTAAGTGAGCAGAGGCTGTTCACAGAGCGAGCTGACGGTGAATGCCAGAGGACTTGGATCTCAGCTAAAGGACAGTATTGCAGTTACCTGTCTTTTAGCAAATGAACCTTTTGAAAGTCATGATCTTCTTTGAAAGGTTTTTCAAAAAATGAACTTTTGCCCAGTCATCCTCTTGAATTACCAGGAAAAAAAAAATATTCCAGCTCAACCAAGATAAATTTTTCCATACTGAGAAATATCCAGTGTCTGTTTGCTCCACTAAAATTACAAATAGAATTCAAGGCAGCGCAACAGGTTCAGCATCTTCCATTTCTTGCAGCTCAAATCTTTCATTGGATATTTTGAGAAGTAATGATGAGACTTGGATTCGAAGATATTGTTAATGACCCATCACAAAGTGAACTAAAGGGAGAGCCACACTTTATGGTGGAAACAAACTTGGTTTACTGTAATGCCATGTGCTGATCATGAAAATAGAGGGACTACATCTGTTTTATAGTTGTCTTTTTAAAAAAAATTTTATTTCTTTACTGATTTTTAGAGAGAGAAGGATAGGGAGAGAGAGAGAGAAACATTGATGAGAGAGAACATCGACTGGCCGCCTCCTGCATGCCCCCCACTGGGGATTGGGCCCAACCTGGGCATGTGCCCTGACCAGGAATTGAACTGGCGACCTCTTGGTGCATGGGTCGATGTCAACCACTGAGCCACACCAGCCAGACTATAGTTTTCTTTTTGCTATAATTTTATGTATACAACATTAAGAGTATTGACACATAAAAAAAATTAAAATTAAAGAATAAAAATTTACATTGAGAAAATACTTATAATAAACATCCTATTTTAGCCCTGTAGTTTTTGTTTGAAGTGTTGTCATTTCATTTTAAAGAGTGTTAATTGACCTCTTTTAAAAAATAATTTAATAAAATTTTATTTTTCAAAATGTACAGCTGGTGGAACCTGTTCATGCATCTTCACCAGCAGCTGGGGCATCCCCACTTTTGGTGTTTCTGGTGTAAATTACTTGAGCTCTGTGCTTTGAAACGAGTTCAGTGAGTCCTTTACTAAGGAGCTCCCGAAGGACTGCCCTGGACAAGGAACCTCGGGTCTTCAGTTTCTCAGAGACAACAGCTGGGGTTATAAGCTTATAGCTGGGAACTTCCCTAGTTTGTCACGTGTTGCTTTGTCAAAGGAGACTTGGTTATGGAGTTGGTCCCGAACTTTGCCTTTGGACCACTCTTCTCTTTGGCTTTGCCCCCAGATTTCTTCACTGGGCCTTTGTCTTTTCTGGCTGACTTTCTAGCACTTTTCTTATTCTTGTCCTTGGGCAGCATATTGAAATTCGAAGGACAGCTGCTGCCACCACTGCCGTGATAAGACGTCCAGTTGACCTCTTTTCATTTGCCAGACACAATACTCCATGGTATTAGAAGTTAAAAAGAAAAAGATTTGCTCACAGTCCCTAACCTCAAGGAACTGGTCATCTAGCCAGTGGGACATATGCTTTTAATATTACTTTTCTTTTTATACAGAAAACAAACTGAAAAGATGCATTTAAAATGTGAACAGTGATGATCTCTGGGTAGTAGGACTGCATTTGACTTGTTTTTCTTTCGTGTGTTTATGTGTATGTGTCTAATTCATATTTTTCAAACGTTCTATTACAACATAATATTGATAATTATTTTATGGCTTATCTAGATCCTCTGCATCGGGGCCTCTCATGTGTCTGCGATGGCAGGGGCTACACTCATCTTGAGGTCCCACCAGAGTGGATCTACTTCCCAATTCACTCTGTGGTTGTTGGTAGGATTCAGTTCCTTGTGGGCTGTTGGCTGGAAGCCTCCCTCAGTCCCTTGCCATATGTGGGTCTCTCCATAGGGCAGTTCTCAGCCTGGTGGCTGGCCTCCATGAGAGTGAGCAAGTAAGAGGTCAAGAGAGATCCTAATATCAGAAGTAACATCCCTTCACTTCTGCTTTATTCTACACATTAAAAGCTAGTCATTAGGTCCCTCCCACACCCAAAGGATGCACTACCAGGAGGTGAGATCATTGGCAGCCATCTTAGAAACTACATGCAAAATACATTCGCACCCTCCCAGATCTCCAAGTCTCATTGCATTGCAACATCAGCGTGAAGTCCAAAATATCATCTGAAATCAGATCAGGGTGGGTGAAGCTCCTCGGGTGTAATTCTTTAAGTACAGCTCCTGGAGCACATTTCCTCTCCACCTAAAGACCCAGGAAGTTAATGAGACAAGTAACCTAACACTCTCAACAAATAATGATGGATCAGGCATGAATATTGTTCACAGAGGGGAAACGAAGACTCAAAAGAGTCACTACAACCAACTCACACCCAAGGGTAGGGGAGTATGCCAGGGCCTGAAAACCAGGAAGTGGGATCACTGGTGGCCATCTTGGAGGCTGCCTTTCTATTTGACTGTACTAATTAAAGAAGTAAAATTTTAGATAAATATTTTATGAAGCTTGAGGTATAGCTGATTTTTTTTTTATATATATATATATACTGCATTGTTGTGAGTTTGTACTGCAATTTTTTCTTTGGCTCAGGGTAAAATTCTTTTGGATTGAAAGATTATTGGAGGATATTGCTTAAAAATATCTTCCTTTATCATGGCTATAGACCTGATCACCAATTCTCAGGTTTTTCAATTTTTCAAAATGTTTTCCTAAAGATTAATTTAGCATCTGTTGCAGTCCCACACTTATTCCTTTAGCTGGATTCTGCTTTTTCAATTTATCAATACACCTTTCATTTGCATAGAATTCAAATTACATTCTTTGGGGAAACATCAGTGTCTCTACTTTGACTATGAGAGCTGTTCTAGTTTCTTTTTTGCACTACTGACTGAACTAGAGAAATAACTTTCCCACTTTTCTCTATGCTGCTTAGTTATTATATAAATCTATTTTTTCTAATCATATACTTCCTCAAAATGACAAAAATATAAAACTGTGATAAAAACTAGCAATTGCAGGTAGAATAGGTTCTACATCAAATTACTTAAACACTGATAAAGAACACTGAATTTTTACAAAATGTGCAGTTTGAGTACTTCTTTTGATTGAGCAATGTGTACTGATGGTTTGTGATATTTTGCAATCTAATTTTACTAACTAAAAATATCTGCAATTATATACAAACTAAGGCATAGATTACGGTAGATTAAGATTTTTTTTTATATATCTGCATGCTCTTAGAATGATGTCAAAATAACAACAGCAAAATTTAGAGCAACGAACAGTGGTATCTCTAATAACTGCAATTGCTTTAATAATGTTTCACATTTTTATTATTCTATGTATGGTATTTCTGTTCAAGAATCATAACTTTTTACTTATATAAGGAAATCTATAATTTCGTGAATTATCTTTCCAATAATGCAGAGAAAACAAATACACTCAACATTTCTTAACACCTCACTAGTTTTTATTTATTTTTTTGTAATATAAACCTGTTATTCCTTTACATCAGTTTTTATCTTCAATGACATATGAAAGATCCAAAATCAAATTGGCTGTCTCCACAGCCACCTGTAGGCCACTAAGCTTAGCAGTGAAACAGTCCACGGTCAGGTTGTTGGCTGAGTCCATGGCTTCGTGGGGAAGGCAGGGTTGTGGTGCAAAAGGATGGCGAGCACTCCTTAAGAAAGACCAGTTGAGTTCTTCCCAGCTACTGTATAATCCACAGCCACATCTCGAAAGCAAATCTGGCCAGTTAACAACAGAGGGAGAATCTGCCTGAACTGACCAAAAGTGTCCATACTTCATGTCAGTGAGAATTTCACCTCCATCATGTTCTAAAGAGCCAGTGAGAGATTCTAGCGCACTGCAAAATGCTTCAGAAATTAGTTGAAGTTCTGTTTGAGTACATCCACCATCTTTGAGAATGCTTTCTGGCTCATTGAAAGTCTACAGAGTAATGAAAGAATTAAAAACACATACAGTAATTAATGTCATAAAATGTTTCTGAAAAATAGAATACTTGATCAAACCCTTATTCATAAAGTTACTATTTATTTTCAGTTTAATTAGAGGTTTGGCACAATGCTAATGGGCAAATCTGAGTCAGCTGGCCTGGTTATTTATAATAAAAGTGTATGCTCTCAGTCATGTTATCAGAATGAGTGAATCAGCATAAACACCTCTTAATCAATGTATTCTGAATGACCGCCCAGTAGTGCCTCCTTAATATATGGAAAATAAGGCATAATGCTTGTTTTATAGGTTTTTACACAGAAGTTCCTGAAGACTAATGTCCAAATGAAGTACTTATTTATATTTGGAAAAATGTTTGAGATTTGTTTAAAATGAGAACACACATATTACTAGACAAAAACAATTTAGGAATGTGTGTAATTTTTACATTAATGTTTTAAAAATATTTTCTCTTTAAATTAATAAAAATTAATGACTTTAAATTGTTTTTGTTCTACAATCCTAAAAAGTTTATTCTAGAAATTCCATAATAGAAAAAAATGTAACATACTAGCAAACTTAATGATTAAGAATTCATATCTTAATCACTTAAAAACAGTGATGCCATTTTTTTTTCCCCAAGGAAGTTTGAACAAGATGAGATAATCTCTAATGTATATGATTTCCCCATATTTTCTCTTTTTTAACTTTTAAAAAATATGTTCTTTATTGATTTTAAAGAGAGGAAGGGAGAGGGGAGAGAGAAAAATATTGATGTGAGAGACAAATATTGATCAGTTGCCTCCCATATACACCGTGACTGGAGATTGAACCCAAAACCTTGGTATGTGCCCTGACTGTAAATCGAACCCAAGACCCTTCTGTGCCTAGGACGATGCTCCAACCAACTGAGCCACACTAGCTGGGGTTCCCACATTTGCAATGCTGTATTGTTTCTTCAAAATCCTATTCAAAATACCTTCCTCCTCCAAACTTTTTCTAGTTTACTCAATTCCATTTGCAGACTATATTATTGTCCATTCAGCATTTATAGATTGGCCCTGATTTTGTTTTCCATAATAGATATCTGATAACTTTTCATCAATGCGCTCTATCATCACATAGATTTTAAATTATTTGAGATAACAGGGTGGGGCATGTCTATAAAAAACACTAGAAGCTCTCTTGATAGCACTCCTGACGAACCAAAGAATCAACTTGCAAATATCTACAAAACACATACCTGTTTGCATCAACTTTCAAGTAAAGTAGGTCAGTATTTATGAAATAGTCAGAACTATAATGCACTACATTTATCTATTTTTAGGAAGTGGTTTTCTAGATTAATAACAAAGATTCTTTTTGAGAGAAATAATATATATCATAAGTGGATATCAATGTAAAAATTATAATAGAATGTAATATTTGGAATGCTTTAGAAAATAAAATTAATGAAGTCTTTTCTTGATGATCCAGAAAGTATTGAAGTATTTTGTAGAATCTCAACACTCTCCTTGTTGTACCACAGCAGTTGAGATCTCTAATATGACAACTCCCGTTAACAGAATGCTTATTTCAACATGCAATATTTAGACAATACTCAAAGAATGTGATCATTTGGTAATAAGATATAGTAATAATAATCATTGTGATAAAGATATTACCTTATATTTGGAAATGTTATTTTCCTCAAGTGTTTTCCAATACTATCTGATTTAGACTGCAGAGAAATTAAGCATTAAAGGCTCCAGGGAATTATGATTTGGCTTATCATCTCATAAAACGAATATTGTTGAGAACCGAGATAATCTGAAAAGGACTATGGAACCTACCTTGTGTCTGATATATGCTGCCAAGTGAGTTTCAGTACAGCCACCTCCCAACAAAACACATGGTTCCTTGATTGTTAACTGCAAAACATGCAGTGCTGTTTGACATGTGAGCTATAAAAAAAAGAAATCATCATAATCAGTGACATCAGATACACAAAGAAATATAGCCATGATCCCAAGGCAAATTAGTCAACTCAAAAAGCCTGATTTTAATTGCAAAAGAATAAAACCTGTGTTTCTAAGGTCGTAATGTGATAAATACATTTTGGAATAATGAAGATTAGAGATCAAATAAAAATACTTTAGCCAGATGTTTGTTTTCATGGACCAGATTAATATCATCTTTAATATATATGTAGCTCTGCAAGTTGAGATTTACAAATGAATGGCCTAAATTAGTTGAATGACTGATATAAAATTTATTTCAAGTTGCTCTGGAAATGATAATATAGCTACAAACTGGCAGTAATAAAAAAAAAATACATAGACTTTTAATATTTACCAATGATACAACCTTGAGCATATGTGATTCTTCAAGTTTGTGACCAATGTCATAGGTTATCACTTTCCTTATATAAAAGTTGCATGTGTTATTGCTGGTAGAGAACAACAAACACTATTGAGAGGTGGATGATGGGTATTATTGGGGAATTCATTATCTAAGTGAATTATTCATAGACATTTAACATCAAAGAATACATAATTCAAGTTAATTTCTTAAGTAAAGTTCATATGTTAAGGACTCTTAGATAATTGTAAATACCAGAAATAATAAATGGTAACCCACGCCAGGTCGACTCTAGTGTCTACTTGTGACTTACTTCTCCATTTTTGTTTTTGCTTTTCATACCACCTAGGGAAGTATGGGGAGAGGGAGGGAAGTATAGCTCACCAAATGTGAAAAAAAATTATACCTTTCTGAATGACTATTTAATCTCTGCCTCAGCCCTTAGATATGGAAATCCAAGTTCATTACCTACCTTCAACTCATCCCAGGCAGTGTCGTTTCTATTGCAGAGAAGCAAGCTGCAGACAGTTGCTTTGTTAGGAATAAGATGAATAAACCATTTGAAGCCAAATTTTGCAGTGCACAAATCTTTCACACTTCCATAACTACTAGGAGAGATTGAGCTGATGGAACCAATAGGCTGTGTTCCTATTTTTTAAAGTTTAGAAAACACAAAATATACGAGTAAAGATGGAGTATACAATCATTTAAAATTATATATTTTTTTCCTAGCCAATATAAGTCCCATAAGCATATCATTTAAAATATGACATATAGGATAAAGAACAAGATGTATCTTCTTAAACCTATATATTAGTATTCTGCTATTAAAATTATATACAAATGAAGTAAAGCAGAGGTTCTTTTAGTTACTGACTTTTTTTTTTTTTACCATATTTTAGAAGGTATTTTGTACTCTCCGGACACAAAATTTTGTGTACCTTTTCTGGGAGTCCAGGAACTCTGAAAGCCCATTCATGGATTAGAGATCTAAAATTAAGAACCCCACTAATCTGGAATAGGGTGAAAGTGAGGGCACAGGCTATTATTTTAAAAAGGCATTATCTTCACCTTAAAACATACAAATTAACCTATCCAAATAGCTGTTTTGAGCTCTATTTAGTGAACAAAAAGATTTTTCTTTTGCTTAGCAATGGTGTATATGTAAATAACTTTCTAATTTATGCAAAAAACAAAACATGCAACATTCTAATTCCATTTTGTTATTCTTTGATATATTATTTTGCTCACCCTCCAGCACAGTAAAATTTTACAAAACACAAATTAATGAAAATAGGATAAGTTAGAATGACTGGAAGGTTTCCAAAATCTCTAAAATGTAGTGGAAGTTATGTAAGAAAAGAAATGACACTGAACTTCTATAAGAAGTAACAATGCAAGTTTAAAGTCTTAATGTTAGAACTGTAAATGAGCAATGTACTCCTTTGGCCCAGTTTCTTCTTTCAAATCAATGGAGTTAAAACGCCTAATAACAAACACTTCCAGCTCAAAAAAGAACCCAGAAAATAATCACTGAGCGATTTCACTTCTTTAAATATCCTTTCTTCATTATTTTTGAAACCTCAAAGAATGGGGAATACTTGAGTGATCTAAAATTTAAGGGAAAAGAAAAAGCCTACATCTTATAGAATTTCACACAGTGGACATGACAGGGAATCTAGAGAGGATCTGACTTTATTGCTTATCAGTCACTGGACATGGAGTAAGTCATTCATGTAACTGTTCTGGGTAGGCTTCCCTATGTGAGTTAAATGGGAATAATGTCTATTTAAACCAAATGTAAAAAATGCCCTGTAAACCATAACAAGCTTCACACATACTTCACCCATGCACAGTAACTCCACTATTTAACCCAGATTATCAATAAAGAGGACTTTTTTTTGAAGGGGGAGAAAGGAAGTAATGTTAAACTAGATATACCCTGGAAGATGAATTAGGCCCCAAACATATTTTACCTATTCTTAGTTTACCTGAGCCATGTGTGTGTGTGTATATAATCCCCCCTTTCTGTCTCAAAAGGTCTCTTATCCTAAGATCTAAGCTCTGGCTATTAATACTATGCTCTAAATTGCATATGAGATAAATAATAATTGTGGGCTGGTGTAGAAACTCAGTGACCACTTATAATATTGTTTTTATGAGAAAATGCTTCATACTGACTAAATAATTTGTAATACTTAATATTCACAACTGCAATTTACCCAATTCACGAAAAGCCAGAAAATATTTAAGTATATGAGTCTGACTAATATCAACAACAAATTCCAAATCTTTCAATTTTTTAACAATTTCCTCTTTGACAATCATTTGACAGTCTTACAAAGGTAGGGCAGTAACCCAGAAATGTTATGTATTCAATACTTGACTTACATAGTACTCCTTTTTGATGATTTATGAGAAAAATTAGTGCACTTTAGCAATGATTTATCTAATACTTTAAAACTTACAATCAATCAGAATAGAATGACCCATTTTTCTGATAGTCAATGCAATGAAAGGAATGTTAAAAAGTGGCTCAAACTCGTTTGTCATTTTCCTTTGGCTCTAATAGGTAAATGTCAACCTTACATCTGCTTTTAATTTAGTTTGTAAAATAACAGTGAATTCTTTGCCTATTATCATTCTGCATGTTACTATATTATTATAGTCAATTCAACAAACATTTTAGAACACCTGTGTAGCAGGCCTGCTGTAAACTCTGAAAATAAAAGATCCTGGTTCTCGAACTCAGCTGAAAATATTTAAAGCTAGAACACACGTGCGCGCGCGCACACACACATACCCTATTAATTAGGAACCACTATTTAGGCAGAAGTACAGTTGTTTGCTGGGGTTATGAGTGGAAAGAAAATATTCTAGATGCAAAATTACCTTCTAAATTATAACGTGACTTGAGAGCTTTGTAAAACTCAAGTAGAATTTTGTGCAAAGTGTGAAAGACCTTATGATTATGAGGATGCTAATCTTCTCAATAATCTGGAAGATATTTGGGGATGGAGTTTTAGACTGTGACAGATTCTGTAGTACATTTTACAGCATGGGCAATACATAGAAAATAGCCATAATCACTCAATCCTTAGTAAGTGAACAACATAGGATATTTTTCAGAAACAGTTGCTGTCAAAAATGATACTCACACATGCTGTGAGATTGGCGGCTTCTAACACTTTTCAAGATATTAAGTGACACACACCGAGAATGTCTCTGCTCTAAAAAAGTGTGATACATTAACTATAAGGGGCAAAAGCTAAATGTTTTTACCTGTCACTTTACTCAGGGGTTCCATCAGAGCCACTCCAACTCTGTCTATGGCAATAACACGATGCATACCAAGAAACTGTTTCAGAGCTGGGTGAATAACTTTTTGGCACATGACAAGATCTACATGATCACTAACTAGCTGCCTTCCTAGGCTAAGCAACTGGTCCAAAACTGCATTTTCAAGAGAAAGCCCATCATTGACCACCACAGTTCCTTTTCCAGTGTCAGAAAGATCTCCACATAAAGATGCACGGAAGAGTGCCACCTTCAGGGAATCCGATTTTTTGATAGGCAGTATCTTCATCATTTGAACTTCTGGTATTTCAATAAGTATTCCAGGTAACACAGTAGAATCTATAACTCTTTGACCTTTTAAAGGTACAATTATACTCTTTCCTAAAATGATGTGGCCTTTGGTGTATTCTGGAATAGTTAGCAAAAAGGCTTTCAGAATCAGGGTACTGATGTGGTCTACTTCCTCTCTGGTGAGCATACAGGCAGGTTTACTTGTTAATATACTGCGTATCAAACAAAGGAGGATTTGAGTACTACTAAAGTCGACTGGGATTCGACAACCACAGACCTCAGACTTGAGGTAACTCGTGCAGAGGCTCAACAGATGCTTATTTAGTTTAATGACAGTGGTGGGGGTTAAGCCTAGTCTCTGGACACTTTCAATCAGGTTGCAGCACAGAATGGCTGTGAACAAGCCACAGTCACTGAAGCATGACACATGGTTCTGCACAGACACTGTCAGGATCTTTAAAATGGGGTGGGTGACGGAAAGGTTAGCGAGCAGGGCTGACGACTGTGAGGTTGTGCACACAGAGCCTCCAAGGCCATTGTGCAGCTGCTTCAGCCTACCTGAAGGGCCATAGCACGATGTCACAATTCCTTTCAAGACAGAAAGGGTGGCTCTGACGCTCTCACTTGTCAGTGGTTCACTTTTACACAGTGATGGCTTTTTAGCTTCTAAACGAGACATCTTACTTCAAGTGGTCATTTGTGAAGACAGCTTTTATTTTGTTAACCGGTTTTCTACTTATTTTAACATTTTAAAAAGTATTCTTCAGGAATGAAAGTCTGAATATGTAGCATTGTGGTTATGAAATTAAATAGCTTCATAAACATGAAGCTAATCAGCATGTAATAATTTAATGACATATTAGTAGTTATAAATTTTTATTTTACTTCATTCTTTGATACTCTTTTGTTTGCTTCCGGACTGAGACTTTACAGATTGTTTTGCAGCCCTCTGTATAAAGTATGTTCCAAGATGGACACTTATGAAAGAAACTCCAGCTACAAGAAGCCAGTTCCTTCTAATCCAACTGGTTTTTTTCATTTCTTCTTTCAATATCAAGCTCAGATTCAAAGCTCTTTCTTTCTATAGAAAATAAAAATAAAACATTTTAGAGAATAATTTCAAAACACGTTATAGACTGCAGTTTAATAATTTACTTCACAGCTCTGTTCCTTCTTTAGAAAAAGAAACTACCAATTGGCATAAGACTCTAGAAAATAAGAAATGTAACATTCATTCCTTTATTTTTCAATGAATTCCTACAAGAAAAGTGCTGACATTTCAATGATTTTGGAAGGCACAACACAGCTAGAAAGCTTACAGTATAATTATTTGAATATGACATGCTTCTAGAAGAGAAATGCTACATTATAAAACTCATAGAATTTGCCCTGGCTGGTGTGGCTCAGTTGGTTGAACATTGTCCCATGTACCGAAAGGTTGCTGGTTCAATTCCTGGTTAGGACATATACCCAGGTTGTAGGTTCAGTCCCATCAGGAACTGTACAGGAGGCAACTTTCTCACATCGATGTTTCTCTCCCTCCCTCTCTCTCTCCCCCCACTTCCTCTCTAAAATCAATAAAAACATATTTTTAAAAAACTCATAGAATTTGGTCTCTGAGTCTTTTAAAAAAAATCCCAAATGTTTTTATTTTATTATATTAATGTTATGTTTGTTTTTTCTCTATAACTTTGGTTTTTCTGGAGACCTTAGGTCTCAATAGAAACTTGCTTGTAAATAATTATGAAAAGAAGGTAACTGTTAGTATTCCTGCCGCAGAGATGCCAATGTACAGTCCATGTTTAGCTGCAGAAATCTGTACAACACACTGGATCAAAGAACAAACCATGTTTTATATCTGGCCACAGTCAGAGCTAATTTTCTGTAGTTTTACCCTATCAGTGATTTTTAGTTTTGATGTCCTATAACTAATCCTCCCCCAAACTTTGGTTAATGACAATAAATACAAGACTCAGAAAATGTGCTAGATGACATAGAAAAATAGGATTTGATTCGCAATTCAATCTCAGAGTTTAAATGCATAAAATGTTATTATATACCATGTATACTAGTTTTCTTAGCAAGGTTAAATAGTGTGCCTTGAAGCACAAAATCCGGACACTTTAATAATGTACAGAAAGAATAAAAATATCAGGTTTTGGATCTTATCTGTTGAGGTTTAGTGCCTTGAAGGTGAAGGTTCAGCCAATTATTAGTTATTTCCAGGAATATGCTAACTATGCTAACTACTTGACAGTATTTAGCATAAAATAAAACTCATTGAAATTCTGAGCACAGTATGATACAGACCAAAATGGTGATTTGATGATATGTAAAGAAGATAGGAAGAGAAAAAGAGAACGTTAATGTGGAGTGTTAATTTGTTTACCACTCCCTTTCAATTTAGTTAAAGGGCTGTTACCATGGCAACTAGGCCCAAATAAAGTAAAGACAATGATGGCCAGCTTTCTCCTGTGATAATAAAGTTATAGTCATCTTTTTTTTTCACTGCACGAGGAAAAAAAATCTGTTCATCTTATGCCAGGAACAGCTAAGGTACTTAAATATTATTTCAATGGTTATTTTAGTCAGCAAAATCTGTGAAATACATTTAAATGAAACCTCAGTGAAGTGACTTTCATACATTAATTTGCACATTACAACATACACAAAACACAACAGAAATCGTGATTAATAAAATGATTTCTAGTACATAATGGTGAGATATACTATAGATTTTCAGTAGAATGAAGTTAGTGCCTCCAACAGTCTTGTGGTGGTAGTGAGACCAGTAACCACATCTTTTGGCTACTAATTAATATTTTTCTTTTTCTTTTTTTATTTTATTTTTTATATTTTGTTCAGATAGAGTGGGAGGGAGAGAGAGAGAGAGAAACATCAACGTGAAAGGGACACATTGAGTGGTTGCCACCCGCACGACCCAACCAGGGCCGGGGACAAACTGCAACCGAGGTACGTGCCCTTAGCAGGAACCGAACCCGGGTCTCTTCGGACCGCAGGCCGACGCTCTAACCGCTGAACCAAACTGGCCAGGGCTCTTTTTATTTTTTAATGTTTTTGATTTTTTAGAGAGGAGAAAGGAGAGAAGATAGAAACATTGATGTGAGAGAAACACTGATTGGTTGCCTCCTGCACGCCCCCACTGGGGATCAAGCCCGCAACCCAGGCATTTGCCCTGACCAGGAATCGAACTGGGACTATTCAGTCCATGGGACACAGCTCAATCCACTGAGCCACACTGGCTGGGCTACCAATTAATATCTTTATAAAACGAGAAAGAAAGAAATCACTTGAAGTGTTGCTGACTCTCAAAAGTAACAAATTATTTTGAAGCTAAAACATTAGATACTAATAAATGAATACAATTAGTTTTGTCGTGGAAAAAATAGAATGATAATAAAAGAACTCTTTGCAAGTTCAGATATGTATGCTCTGGAATGGACTTATGGCAGAGACAACTGCTCTTTTGGACACATACATGATCCTAGTGGCACTGCTGGCGAAAAGGACAGGACAAGCAATGGGCTGATTGGCTTTTCTCTTTTCATCCAAATGGATCTGCCAGGTAAAAGTGTCAAAAGTCTTTGTGAAACAAACTATTTTAGAAGAAACCATAGAATGATATGTTGCTTATGGATAATAAAGTCAATAGGTAGTCAGCTGGTGTGGCTCAGTGGTTGAGCATCGACCCATGCACCAAGAGGTCACAGGTTTGATTTCCGGTCAGGGCACATGCCTGGGTTGTGGGCCAGATCCCCAGTGGGGGACGTGTGGGAGGCGGCCAATCGTTGCTCTCTCTCTAAAAATCAATAAAGGGAAAAAAGAAATCAACAGGTAACTTACCAATTTAAGCTCTTTTTGCCAGAACTCTACACTTTTTAAAAGAGAATATTTCTCATTGTTGGAACATACCATTTGGTTGGAACATACTGTTTGGTTACAGATTAAATCCACTTACCTGAAGAATGCAACCCTGCTATTTCTCTTGGAGGTGGTTCTTTTGAGGACTTGCAAGTGCCAGACTATCTGGCTCAGGAACGTTGTCCTTGTTAGGTATTTGGAAAACAGTGCTGCTTTTGATTCTGTGCCACCCCAAATGTATGAGCCCAATTAAAGGTACCATAACAACCAGAACTTTGTAGTCTCTCCAGAAATTCTGAAAACTCATAGTACTTCAGCATCAGTGAACCTAAGAAAAGGTCAACAGTTAAAAGAGAAAAACAAAAACAAAAACAATCCCTCAGATTACATCTATAAACCACTATAAGCATAATATCGCACTAATAAAAGCTGACTGTTAAACGTTTTTAGTTACAATATACTGCAATGTTAATTAGCTTTTTTTTTGTATGTGCTCTTAGTGGGAATCGAACCCAGGACTCTCTGGTCCACAGGCCGATGCTCCAACTGCTGAGTCAAACCGGCCAGGGCTGTTAATTAGCTTTTGAGATATGTTATAGATCTAAAGAAAAAGCAGGAAGTTGAGCTTGGGAAACCTATAAAGCATTATTAAACTTTTAGTCAACAACCATAAAGGAGTACCATTACCTGCTTGGAAAGTTTATGAATCTTTAGAGTCATTCATGCATAGATATAATTTTCTTTATATCATTTCCTTAAATATGCAATAAAAACTTAGATTCTTCGTTTTGACAGAATGTAAGTGATGGTGTTTCCATGGAGACTGGGAGAGTCACGCATGGATTCAAAAAAAGTATGGCTTGAACTCTATGAATTATGATGAATTAATACCATTGCCATATTTATGTGCGGAACCACTGCATTTTAGACTATTTACTCTTATTACTAATAACTCTACCGTACAGGGGCTACTGTTTACCCGGTTTACATGAAGAAATTAGGGCTAGTAAATTGCTTGGAGTTACAAAGCTAGTTAGTATTGAAACAGATATTTTTCCTGTCTGTTTTTGATTTGTCAAGTGTAGAGTGAGGCCCAGAAAGTCTGTTTCTGATATTCTGTTTGGTTTGGAAACTCGAGTCTAGACAACCTCTAAAGACTTCTAAAGACTTCTTTTACTTTCCTATTTCAGGGACACTCATTAGGCTACAGTGATTAGCTTACAGACTTGTGATGATATGAAGGGAGCCACTTTCCAAATTCTTTTCTGAGCACAGAACAATAAGGATTGCTTCATTATCCACGGGATATATCAAGAAATAGATTCAATTGCATGTATATGAGTTTCAGTATCATGAACACTTACAGCAATTTTATATGAATGTCATCAGAAAAATGTCTGAACACAATTTTTACTTATTTCTTCCCTTTAATCAAGACTAAAATATAGTACTAATGAGTTAAATACCTGAATTGTCTTTGTGTTCTGTGCATATATATTAAAAATAAACAAACAGAAAGCTTAGGAGTTAATGTCTATGTACATATATTATTCCTAGCATTAGAAACCATTTCTCCCAAAGTCTAAATTTATATTTGTAAGAACTTTGTTGCTAAACTTAAACTATTAGATAGAGAAAACATGGCCTACTCTGTAACTGAAGGCATTTTATGGCCTTTTCTTTTTTAAGTACTTTGGTGTCCTTCACATTTTGTGCAACCTTTAGAGACCATACCTTTTATTAACATGCTTATGTCCTATCTTTGAAGAAAGTCGATCACAAATAACTGTGTCATGATTAAATTTCATTGAAGCCCACAATGCAAAAGCACTTGAGATTTGAGGATAATTAATACAGTTGGGGGAAGCGCTGGGTGGTTTGGAGTAAGGAGGGGAGTATTGTAACTTCCTAGAAGTAGGTTACTTCCTAGAGGAAAGGAAGGACAGGTACTGCACCAAAGTCAACTGGCTTGTATTGAATGACATGCGGCATTTCTGTCCACAAAATACCTTGAATTGAAGGTTTAGAAAAATATTGTCATTCATATCTAGTCTCCTTAATACCTAAGGTGACTTTAACATCTGTCACTCTCAACATGAGGTTATCAAGTCACAGTACTTTTAATAGATAGCATTTCTGCTATTCACCGTTTTCTTCACCGTGATTACTAACATAACTCAGTACAAGGTAACCTTTTTCTTGAATTATAAACTTAGGAAACAGCTTATAGAAAAGAGAGTCATTTGGATAACAGGTTTAAAGCAGGGATAACCCAATAACTAAAATTCAGAACAAATTAAACTACAATCTGTAACAACATTGTCTGGGAAAATGTGGTACTATTCTCTCCCTGTAAATCACAGTAATGTGAAGTACAATGGATTTTTCTGGAGAAGAGTCTCAGATTAGTTAGCTCAAGTTAGCTCCCTGCACTCAATGAATTTTTGGGTCATCCATGGGTTCAGGACAAAGGAGGCATCCATTTTATTTATATTGTGTTTAACAGTCTATTCTTCTTATTCATTAGAATAACTTAAAGATCTATACATCTTTTTCTAGATTTAGGTTTAGTTAAGCCTGGGAATCACTATTGCCTAATATCACTAAGGCCCAGTAACAGTACTTTCTGGTTAATAAATGATGTTGGACTGATTTAATGATGATTACTTATATGTTTACTCAACACCTATATGCCACCATTCCCTCAAATTCTCCACATCTCATACATTGAATTAGCTAATGGGGGTGAGAGAGCAGGTAATTATTTTTTGACAATTATTCTGTTGCCCTTTGAAAGGCTTGAGAAATGATTAGGATTGGGATGATAGGGCTTTTTACTTTACAAAGTACTTTTAGAGTCTTCACATTTAATCCACATAAATACACTAAGTTTTCACACCCTAACAGCCCATTTCCACCAAGATAGAACTAGAACTCTTAAAATCATATAGTGACCTTAATTTATTTATTTTGTTTCCTTCGCTTAATAGCTTTTCAGCACATTATGTATATTCTTCTATTTCTTAAATAACCAACTTCCCAGGGTGAGACACAAGAGACTTTACTAAATAAGGCTCATTGTTAGTCTTAAGAAAAAGACAACAAAGTTTTGAAATCTGACATCTTGATGTCCTCATTGAGGTAGTTATGTTCCTTGTTTTGTTCATTTCCTTTTTTGGAGCCTTTAAATACATTTTGGGCATACCATTTTAACTCCTTTTTTCTTTTTAATTCTTTTGTGAGATTTTCCTTTCAAAATGAACAATAGCATTACTGTCCTTTTCTAATAAATGTAGACTTACTTTTTAAAGTTAAAAAATATATAAATAGAAAAATAAAGCTAAACACATCTATAATCTTTTTGGTTTTAACACAAATGTGAACATACACACTGTTCTGGAATCTTTTCTCCCAAGAATATAAATATTCATTATGATTTTTAATAGCCATAAAACTTTTGATTGTATAAAAATATCCTAATTTGACAGATTACTGATTGATAGAAATTTGAGATGTTTTTTCAATGTTTTATTGCTAAATATGCTGTGGCAATAAGTATTCTTATTAACACTCCAGAGCCCATGCTCACAGCCTCTATATGTTGCTTCTCAGAATAATATAAAGATGTACCAGATTTTTTAACAACTCATTTTTCCAATAAACTTACAAAGTTTTTAAAACCCTGACTTTTACAAAGGTTCATGGTGCTGAGCAGCAAGGAGACTAGGAAATCCAATGTGGGAATGGAAAATTAATCTAAATAGAATTTATTTTGAGATGGTCCTTCCCTCAAAACACAGCAAGTCATTCCAGGTGGTATATTATCTGGATACCAGAGAGTATCGAGTCTGAAATAAACATTTCTCAAGAATGTGCTCAAAACACTCAGATTTGATGAGCAATGACAGGTTGCTCCCTAAGGTAAGTTTGTGCTTGTTGTTCATTCATTGAGCTTTTCTGGGAGTAAAGCAGAAACAGAAATGACAGCAGAAAGATATTTTTCCTCTTCTTACCCTCCTATAGCGTACCTCTCACTATCCTTGCCTTATCGTTCCTGAATCTTTTTAAAACACACCTCTAAACAAACAAAAAATACCAAACAAAAACAGAAGGTATGGGACTCTTTTAGAAAGATGGAGGAAACCAAAACAAATGAAATTAGTGAATTATAGATAAGTAAAATTAGAAGTATTATTATGGTTTTATATATTGAAATATTTTTAAATTTAGAAAACATCAGAGGCAATCTTAACACAGATTATGCTTTCATCTACTCTTCTTTCAAAAGTATATACGTTGCATTATTCAAAAGGTTTCATATTTATTATTTTGTTTTCACAGCAATTTTATGAAACTGCTTTAGAAATAAGGACATATTAAATGATTGATTGCAAGATTAATGTCAGTTAATTGTGGCACTAGACTTAGATTTCAGATCCCAAAGGCCTTAGTTGATATTCTATTAAGCAACTTTCAAAAGTTAAGATTTAGCATCTCAGCTTTGGCAATAAAGTCAATCAGAATTTCCAGTGCACAATGATGGATGAGAAGAAAATTCTAAGTGCATGGTGTGTACTTGTGAGGATCACTGAGGTCAACTATCTAGTGCATTAAGCCTGGTGTGTTTTCCTGATTCTTATGTCAAGTATATAAGAGGTTAACTATAACCTCGTGCCACTCTGTCCAAAATGAGAGGGCCAGAGTCTATTATCCACCAAACATACAACTGGGACCTACTAATAGTTGAGACTAGCTGGACTAACTTTAGTTCAGTTTTCTTTAGCTCATTTCTTAGTACAGAATAAATAGCAAGAGATTAGTGAACAGAACGGGGAGAAGCTTGTTATATTGACACCTCATTAAAATAGTGTACTCTTTTTGAGTACCTATAAATATAAAGGCCAAGAAAGGAAAGCACTGATATATGCTTCTGTATGCCAGGATACTCTCTAAAGGCATTCTGTGCCTAGAATAGCAACTTTCCCTCCCCCTAATTTGTATTACAGAGATTATTATCTCCCAATTTCTACCACTAGGCCTCTGATAGGCTTACTCCAACTTGTTACATTCCAAGGTAAAGGAAAGTTTTTTGGTGATAATACTGCACAATAAGGTGAAAGGCAAAATGGCAATTAAGCTTCCTAGAAAATCCTAAACAGCCTGGCTCTATCTATCGGATTCCTCTTTCTATGTTGCATCATGTTAATTAAAACCATCAAGTGTTGTTATTGGCATTACTAAATTAGGTTTACAACAATCTAGATGCAGGAAATATTCTGTAAAAAATTCTCACTTTGGCCCTGGCCGGTTTGGCTCAGTGGTTGGAGC